ACTGCAAACTTACAAGGCATAACAAGGCAAATTGATTTAAATTGAATCGAAGAGAAAAGAGACTCCAGCTTCCGATATTGTTGCTGTTGGTTCCAGTTCTCTCGCTTCAGTAACTGCGACTGCGGAAAAGCCAAACCCTGAATCTCCTTCAGCATCGAAAGAAGGGTCATCAGTGGTTGGTTGCGTAGATGCTCAACATCAACTTAAAATAAGTGATCAGGTTATTGAAATTGAACATTTAAATAACACTCCTTGTATTTTGCTAGCTCTCTTGGATATCAGTAATCCCGTGTTTTTATTCAAGATTTAGTTTTTAAAATCTTTTTTGGACAAAACGCTGTATTTATAGATCAAATGGTTAAAGAGTTTCACATGCTGTATAGTCCTACTATAGTCCTACTGACTTAAAATCGCGTGAACGGTTACAATTGATTAACGAAGTAGATATCCGCAGATATTTGTGAATCCAATGTGAATGATGAGTCGAATATCAATAGTGTAAGTATCAAAATTTTGACCCGAAAATAAATGTTCAAGTCTGTGATATTATCAAAGATGTCAACTCTGCACCTGTAGACAAAATAATTATATAAGATTATGGTAATTATAGCGCATCGCTTAAGAATAATTCTACTTATACGTTTGCTCCCCGCCATTTTGCATGGACAGAATGTTCAAATACGTGCAATAATTAACGATCTAATACACCGTGGTATAGTAAAAGTGAGTACGATGCGCTTGCGTAGTTCCTATCCGTAAAAAAAATGGACAGTTGCGATTGTGTGTAGATTTGCATCCGCTTAATGAATGAATCGTTAAGTAAAAGTACCCATTTTCGTTAAATGAGAACTATCTCGCCTGATTAAGTGATGAAAAGATATTTATACGCTCTTAGAGCTTAAGAGTGGATTCCATAACATACCCATTCATTCGGATCATATGAAATATTTTGCGACCTCCGACGAACAATACGGATATTTGAAACTTCTAGTCGAATACTCGAAAGCTCCCGTCAAATTCCAAAGGCGCCTCATACAAATTTTGCAATCATTAATTTCGCAAAATTAACGCTACTCGTTTACATTGACGATATTCTGACACCATCAAACTCAATTGACAGACTTTAATTCTGTTAAAACAATATTCATTTGAATCTTTCGAAATATCAATTTTTGAAGACTAAAATCAAGTATTTGGGATATCTTATCCGAGAGTGGAATCACTCTTAGTTAACGACACGTAATATTTTTGGAAACCTTATTGAATTAGTTTCCAACAGAGACACTGCGTTCACCTCTCGTGAATTTAAGGTTTTTATAAGGGAAATATTAATCATCGTCTTATAATGGTGGCCACTCTTTGGGCCAACGGAAAGTGAATGTATAAATTTTAAAATCGTCAATGCAAAAACTAGTCGACGATCAAGAATCGTGGTCGGATAAAGTTGAAAAAGTTTAATATATAATTAATAATTCATACTATAGTTCTGTCAAAAATTCTCTTTCCGCTTAGTTTTGAGAAGACCAAACCGATTCACTATTAATTCGTTTTTTAAACAATATCTCTAAAACATTATCTGATCAAGAGACATTATCTGATTAAATGGTTGAAAATCTGCATGATCGAAACCGTAACATTGCATGTCAAGCGACCGACAAACTTAGGAATTACAATAAGTCGTACTATGATAAGCATCATAAAACTTCGTTTGTTTACAAACCCGGTGGACTATGTGTTAGTTCGAAATACTTTTAGTAAACCTGGAGAAGAAAAAAAGTTCAAAGCATCTTATAGAGATCCTTACTTAATGACCAAAGCTTTAAATAAAACTGTACATAATTCAAGATAATTCTGGATTCAATGTAACTCAAAAATCGTATAACTCTATTTTGTCCCCTGATTGATTAAAACATTGGATAAAATCTTTAAACGGATAACTCGAATGTCTTTTAAATCAGAATTCATAATCAATTTTTATACTCAATTACTTTACAAAAATTTTCTCTTCTGGTTCTAGGATACCTTTCATGTTTAATTTTCATGTTTAATTTAGATTATATTTCTTTGTCAAAATTTATCTGGTTTTGTATCCTATATATTGCGTTCTATATTTTATAATTTTTGTATTCTTTGATGTAAGTTTTAGATTTAAGATAAAAGATTTTGTATTAGTTAAATTAAGTTTAGATCTGTGCCATAACCTTAACATTAAAATCGTTTTTATCCATCCATGTCCAATGGCCATATATTTGTTCATTAATTCTTCGTTTAATTGTAATTTTTTAATACAGTTTATACTTGTATATTTCAGTTAAGGTATTTTGTGGTTTCCATTTAATGTTCGAGACGAACAGCCATGCAGGCTGGCCGAGCTGTAAGAGAGACTTTATCATAGTATCAATCTTACACTAAATTCTCGTTTGTCCCGCGTAATGGCGTTTCGCGTGCTGTTAGTGGTGTTCAAAGCATTATATCTAATAATAATGAGCACGATTGGTGATCGGCCATTACAGCGACTATAATTGACCGCTTGAAATAATTCAAATGATAACAGCGATGTACATGAGGCTGAGACGAGAATGTTGTTGAAGCGCGATCATCTTCGTGAGCATACTCTTTATATCTCCTGATCATTAAATAAAAGTATTATTTAAGTGATATTTGTAAACGTGAGTTTCACTGTTATCCCTGGCTTAACCCGTTTGATCTTCCTAATCAGTTTGAGTCTAGCGTTCTCTCGCTGACACAACTAATTTGGCCCGAGAGTTTTGTTTCTTTCTTGACGCCTCTCGTGACCCGTAGTTTCTTTTCCTTATTCTTTTGCAAGACGGTTATCAAATTCCTTGCCCATTTTACAATTTTTTTGCGATTTTATAATTCTTTATTGCAATGCACGCATATACAAACATCAACAAAACTGCTGTTACAAACTTACCAATAGTTAGATTACAACAGGTAAACTTGAATTAATAAAAATAGCAAAGTATTAACTCACAAATTAATCATATTAACAAGAACATGACATATTGTATAAAATTAACATTAGACATTAACATTTACGGGACTTGGTTATAGAGCGTGAGTGAGTGCATGCGAGTGTGTCTTAACAATTAATAAGCGAATTTAAAGAAATAAGATCAGCGAGAGGTTTAATTATGAGCTAATTAGCTTGTTAGAAGCGGGAGGTAAGCGAGCAATTGGAGGAGAAGCTTTTGATTGCGTGCGTTAAAAAGTATCAAGCGCGATACATCGAGGTGAGGAAGAATAGGTTAGGGTGCGGAATAACGGCACATAAAACGGTGAGAAGGAAAAATGGCAAGCGCCATTTAGGAGCAAAATAGACAACAGCAGTATTGACAGAGGATAAATCAAAGATTGGTTTGAAAAAAGTGACATTTGACATGACAGAGGAGAAAAGTATAATGGAAAGAATAAAGGTAGAAGTAAATGAAGAGTTGTACAGAGGTAACGAAAGAAATGAGAGACTTAGTGGAAAGGGAGGTAGTTAGAATAAGAAGGGACATACAAGAAGATGTAAATAGAAAAATTAGAAAATTTGAAGAGAAATTGGAGATTATGAAGGAAACAGTAAAGAAAGATTTGTCAGAAAATAATAGAAAAATGGTAGAGAGTTTAGGATATAAGAAGCTTAGGCAAGGTAAATAACGAGGGGAATGATTATAATAGCGAGGGAAGGAGTGTAAGTAGTTTTGGAAGGAAAGGAAATAGCTCAAGGGCAGGATCTATGGTAAGCGAAGAGGGTTTAAGCTGCAGATAAATGTTTTAAAGAAATGGATTCAGATAATGAAAAAGAGGAGAGGAAAAAAAATATAATTATAAAAGGAATACAGATATACCGGGAGGGGGGATGGAAATAGATGGGAAAGAAAGGGGAAAAGGTTTATAAAAGAAAGATTGGAGGTAGAATGTAGCCTTCTCGAGGATAAATGGAACAGTGATAGTGATTAGAATAGGAAGTGAAGAGGAAAGAAGTGAAATAATGAGGAACAAGCATAAGTTAAAAGGAGGTAAGATTTTTATTGAAAATGATTTTGAGCTGGGAGGAAAGGAAAATTCAGGAGAGGATTAACAAAGGGTTAAGGAGCAGAAAGGGGAAAGAAAAGATATAGAGATTGGATTAGATAATGTAAGAATAGATGGAAGGCATTGAATGTAATTGAGAGGGAAGATGAAAAAAAGAGAAAGAATAAGGTAGATAAGGAAAGCGATTAAATAGAGGAAGGTGAAAGGAGAAAAGCAAGGGGGATAAGGACAAGAAATCAAAATCAAAAGCAAAATTTTAACCATAAACCAAGAAGAAAGAATTAGTTTAAAAAGAGGTAAGATAATTAGAAAAAGAAAGAGACAGAAATTAAGGATAGAAAGGAAAAACAAGACAGTGGAATTAAACAAGCGGGGATGCAATGAAGAATAGGCTACCTAAGACACATGTATGTGATTGCAGTTATGCTAGGAAGGAAAGAAAGAGAGGCAGAATAAATGGTGGTTTTATATTTGGAAAGAAAAAAATGGGAGAATAAGGAAGACAAGTTAATTAGCAAAGAAGGGGAAGGAATAATCGTACCAGAGTTAACGAGGAAGGGGTGAAGAAAAAATAGATATAGTCTCAGTATAAGGAGAACAAGGAGGTAAAAATTTGGATATAAAGATGGAAAAAATTAAGGAGGAATATACGGAAGGAAAAAATGTATACTATAACTATAGGAGGTGATTTTAATAGAATTGGGGAATTAGCAGGAAAAGATTTAAAGGATGATAAAAAGGATAGATATAGCAAGAATAAGATAATAGGAAATGAAGATAAATTTTGTAGAAATGATAACGGAGTATAACTGGCACATTCTGAACGGAAATTCAAGAAGTGATTGGGAGGGGGAATATACGTAAGAGCAAGAGATAGCTCGGTAATAAATTATGCAATGATTAACGATAATATTTGCGATAGAATTTAGATTCGACGCGAGAGTGGACTCGGACACATGCCACTGAGCCTAACATTAAAGGAAGGAACTGTTATATTGGAAGAAAGTGACACGGAAGAGGACCGGAACGAAGAGGACAAAGTCAGCAAGAAAGAAGAATTACCATATGGAATAAAGATACATAGAATGCTACAATAAAAACACAAAGGTAATAAATGACGAGGAAGATATGGATAAAGGCAAGAGAAATAATGAGAAAGAGGTAGAAACTGGAAAGAATTAAATAAAATGTGGAAGAAATTAAAACAGATTGTGTTTAATAATGTTGTGAAGAAGAAAGTCAAAAAGAAGAAAAGATGCATAGGATACAAGGATTGGTAGGATGTTAGCTGATCCAGAAAGAAGAGAGAGATAAAGAGAATATGTAGAAAATGGAAAAATGGAAAAGAGACGAGAAAGAAATATTTGGAGAAGAGGAAAAAATTCAGAGAATTATTGGAGAAGAAACAAAAAAAAAGGAAAAAAGAGGAGGAAGAATTGAAAAAGTTAAAGAGGGAAGCAAATGTATGGAAGTACATTAATAGGAAGAGAGGTAAGAAGATTTAGAAAGGGAATAATATAAAGGATGAAAAATGGAGGAAATATTTTAAGGAGCTATTGGACGGCACTGAAGTGGAAAATAAAATACAGCAGAACATCGGTCAGCTCTTTAAGCTAGAGAAAAAAGAAGTAAATATAAATAAAGAAGAAAGTGAAGAAGAAGGACTGAAGGCTGAAGAGATTGGTAGAGCGTTATACAAAATGAAGAAGAAAAAAGCAGCAAGAATAGATAGTGCCTATGAAAGCCTGGATATATGCAGGTGAGGATTTACAGAAGAGGCTAGTGGCTACTACAAAAAATGTAGAGTACAGGCAAAATGCCGCAAGACTGGAAGGAAAGTATACTTGTCCCTCTATAAAAAAGAGAAGACGAGGAAAAAATAACAAATTACTACTAGAAATATTTCATTATAATGTATAAAATATATGCAGAAGTAATAAGGTATAGACTAGAAAAGGAGATGGAAACCAAAGATATGATTCCGGAAAGTCAAACTAGATTTAAAAGAAGAAGATCAACAACGAATAATATTTTCATACTGATGTATGATACAGAGGGAAAGAAATCAGGAAGAAAGAAGAAAAAAAAATATGATGTTATGGATCTAAAAGTTCTCTTTGATAAGATGAATAGGAACAGACTTTGGGAAATTCTTAGAGGCAAGAGTATAAATGAATATTTAGTAAGGAATATAGAGAAGATGTATGAGGAAATGGAGATGAGGATAAAGCTTGAAGCAAGGATACACACAATAATTCAGAACAATGAAAGGAGTAAAGCAAGGTGTAATGAGTTCAATTTATATATTGCGGATAGATAATGAATTAGAGAAAAGAAGAATAGGAGGAATTAGACTAGGTAAGGATAGGATATGGTCATATGTGAATGACTAGTTTTAGTAGCTTATAATAGGGAGACGTTACATATGAGCACTCCAAAAAAATTTTTGGAGAGTAGGAAACTAAAGCTATGCACAGAAAAGGCGAAAATAATAGTGTCTGGAGGAAAGGGGAAAAAAAGGAAAGAGAAATGGAAATGGGGGAATAAGGAACTGGAGAAGATATAGGAAAATGTGTGTTCAAATATTTGGGTTTTAATTTAGGAAGGGAGATTATAAAATATATTAAAGAAATAAGTAGAAAAAAAAAGATGATAGCAAGAAAAGTATGGGACTTAGGGAAAAAGCTATGCAGAAATGACTTTAGTAGAAGATAGATGTTATTCAAATATTTGGTATAAAGTATTATGGAATATGGAATGAAATTATGAGGCTGGGAAGAAAAAGAACTAGAAAAGATAATATTAAACTACGTCAGGTGGATTTACAAATTAGATTTCTGCACTCCAAAGTATGTAATTATGAGGGAGTTGGTAATGGATAAGCTCAAAGTAGGATGGGATTTGAGGACAAGAAAATACGGGGAAAAGATTAAATCTAGAAACACAGATAATTTGATCAGAGAGTGCTGGGAGGAAAAACAAAGCTATGATTAGAATGACATAATATATAATAAAATATGGAGAGAGAGGGTTATTATTATAATAGGAACGGATGGAGAATTAAATCTAGAGAAGTAATAAACAACTGAAAGTTTTGAAAAAGATTTAACAAAAAGGGAAAAGGATTTACAGAAGCAATGGAAAAAGGAAAAAATAAATAGATAAAGATATAATAAAAGATATAAAGAGATAAATATGCAGAATAGGGTATCAAATTATCTGAGGATGGAGAATATGGAATGGTCTCGAGCATTATATTAACGAATTCGAGGAGACAAGAGGTAGTTTTGAAGAGTTAGAAAGGATAAGGACGAGATCGTAAGGAATTTATGCGGAAAAGATTTGAATGAACTTAAAGGAAAAACACTAATAAAACTATGGAAGGATAGAGAAATAATAAAAAGAAATAATAAAAAGAAAAGAAAAGAAAGAATATAGGCTATTGTAAAGATAAAGATAATGTAAAAACAAGGAGTAAGTATTTTGTAAGACAATAAAGCTGTAAGAATCAAATAAGATTATAGCGTAGTATCTTATAGTTAGTAGATAATTTATAATTTATTATCTATTAAGTTAAGAAAACGAATTGAAATGAGATCAATAGAAAATAAAAAGGATAGGATGTAGATGGAACGTGCAGTTAAAGAATATCAGGGAAGATAGGGCGGTAAGAATAAAAAAGTAAGAATAAAAAGTAAGAATAAAAAAATGCTAAGTAGAGATAAAGGGAAATAAGAAATGGAATATGGACACTAATATTAGATGTACAACTTTGCTTTCGTTTTTTTTCCGAAATTCGAAGCTTTATTGTAAAAAACTGGTTATACATTTATGATTCAAAGTATTGTCCATCGCTGGCCACTACTTTCTCCCATCTTTCGGGTAGTGTACGAATCCCGCGTCGAAAAAACTGGTCATCTTTTGAGGCTATCCACGAACCGATCCAATTTTTTACTTCTTCATAAGACTGGAAGGACTTCATAAGACTGCTGGTCAGCCAGGCCGTGTGCCATTGATCGAAATAAGTGATAGTCAGAGGGAGCAACATCTGGAGAATACGGCGGATAGGGCGACTTCCCATTTCAACGTTTCCAAGTATGTCTTGACTACTTTCGCAACATGGGATCGAGCATTGTCATGCTGCAAAATCACTTTATCGTGTCTCTCGTTGTATTGCGGCCGTTTGTCTTTCAATGCTCGGCTCAAACGCATCAATTGCGTTCGATACCGATCGCCTGTGATTGTTTCAGTCGGTTTTAACAGTTCATACACTACGCCGAGCTGGTCCCATCAAATACAGAGCATGACCTTGGACGTCAAAATCACCGTTCTTGAAGCGTTGAAACCACTCACGACACGTTCTTTCACTAATAGCGGCCTCACCATAAGTATTTGAGAGCATTCGATGAGCCTCAGCCGCAGATTTTTTCATATTGAAGCAAAAAATTAAAACCTCCCGCAAATGACGAGAATTTGGCTCGTAAACTGACATTTTCAATCGAGAATAACTTTATGATGCAGACACAAATCGACTAATGTTTCTATGGGGTTATGTTGACAGATGCCCAAGTTTATTGTATGACGTCTATGATCTATTTATTTCGACCACCACTTACCGCTAAAGCCATCTATAGGAAAATGGCGGAAGCAAAGTTGTACACCTAATAATAGACTGTGATAGGGTTAATATATAGATTATGAGAGATTATAATATAGAGATTATGTATAGGTAAAAGAAAAATATATGTATAGTAATAGTTTAGATTTATAGTTATAAGATAAAGGCGGAAGAAGAATGTAAGTATGAGTTAAGTATTTCTATAAACCAAATCCCCTTCTTGGTTTGTATATACTAAAGTGTAAATAAATTTTATTCATTAACATTTACGTTACATTACAAGAAAAAACTTAACAATATGTGCAACATAATCCAAGCTATAGATATACATCATGGTGGAAGGAATAACATGATGTGTTTAGTTTGCAAGCATCTCTCTATAAATCTTCGCCTCTCTAAATCTCTGGCCTAGTTTCCACTGAGTTTAATCCGGATCAGAATGTAAGAATCAAGTCGAGTATTCCCCTGTTACAGTCGAACGATAGGGCTTAAATCCTCGGCACAAACTAGGAAACTATCTATGAATGTCGCATCAGAAGAAAACGTTATTAACTATGAAACATATGGGGATTCATAGTACATTTTTATTTTAAAACTTAAATAATGTCTTAAGATGCTAATAAATGCAGTCCTCGGATTGACTTATGACATCTTAAGATTATATTTAAGATAATTTGAAATGTAAGAATCAATTATGAATATCAGATGTTCTATAGAGAAAGAAACATAAAGTGTATCCTCTTTTTATAGAAAGAGAAACATAAACTGTATTAAACAAAGATTAGTATCAATTTCACGACGCGAAGCAGGTATTCATATAGTCAATTCTTACATTTAAGACTGTCTTAAGTACAGTCAGTCTTAAGATGTCATAAGTCAATCCAAGAACTGTAATATTATTTAAGCAATTTTAAAATAAAAACGGACTATGAATCGTCTCATGTTTAGCGTTTCACAGTTAGCTTTTTCCCTGGCGCGATATTCATAGACAGAGACGGCGGAGATTTAGAGAAAGATGCTTGCAAATTAAGCACATCATGTTATCTCTTCCATCATGGGTATAGACATTCAAATTATTAATATTCAGAATTTAATCATAAAATTGCCATGGATGCTGGAATTATTGTACCAACGGAGTATTATTTCTCAAATAATATCATTTTTCTTGCACAAAATAAAAAAAATCCTTCTCCAGAATAAAAGAAAAAATGCAAATACTTTCGGAAAAGTTCCGGTATGAAAATCCAAAAAAAATTGTAAATTACAGTTTTCTATAATATAGATACTTTCTTTACACACACACACACACACACACACACATATATATATATATATATATATATATATAAATGAATGCACGTATATACCAGACAAAAAGTACTTTTCTGTATTTGAATAATTTATAAAAGTATCATGAGAGATTCAAATTGTGATTCTGAAGCTCACAACAGAAATGACTTGAGAAGTCGATATGAGTGTATAAAAGTATGATTTGAGTATACATAACACATTCAAGTAATATATAGGATGTAGCAAAGCAAGAAATGTATTTTGAGCCATCCAGAGCTTATGATACAAAGGAGTAATATGATTAAATTTATGAACAGTATGAAAAACGAAGACAGGAATTTTGGATACGCTGATTAAGCAATTGCTGATTAATGGCAGGGATGTGTACCATTTGACATAGTCAAATAAGGAGATAACCAGCAATTGAGAGACATGAAGTTTTTGCGAAGTAGAGAGAATGTGGCGAAAAGAATAAAGAAGTCGAAGACGAGCATAAGTTCTGCATTTAAGTTCTGCAATCATATGCAACTTGAACGATCACGATGAGTTCAGGTGAACGCCAAGGATTTTAATAAAGGAAAAGCAGGAAATTGGACGGAAGTTATATAGATATTAAAGGATTGAGCACGGAATAGCAATGTAGAAGAGCCAGCAACGAGTAAGAAAGATTCAGATCAAGGTATTAGCAGAAGAATGCGGAGACAGCACTTAGATCATTACTAACTTACTACCAGCAACACCTGATGCATAAAAGGATTTGATGAGAATTACATCATCAGCATACATGAGAAGTGTGGAGGAATAGAGGATAGATCCACGATAAAGATATTAAAAAACAAGGACAGATCCTTGAGGACTCCAGAGAAACGAAGCAAGAAGAAGAAAAGGAGAGATAAGGACATATAAGACTTATATATAAGAACATGCTGGGAATGATCTGTAAGAAATAGAGCCGATTAAGATAAATCACATGCGGAATTTAGCAAGGAGGAGGTCGTGATTAACTGTCTCGAAAGCCTTAGTGAAGTCGAAAGCGACGATGGATGTGAGATATCCCAGGTCAAAATTTTTAAATACAAAATTTGAAAGAAGAAATAGCTCTGTTGTGATACTATGCGATCTACGAAAGCCCGACTGACACAAAGGCATAATCTCGGCATTGCTAACAAACGCATTTAATTGCTGAAAGCATGTTCCAATAACTTTGATAGAAAGGGAGAAAGAGAAATAGGATGAAGAGAGGAGGGAAAGGAAAGATCACGATTTTTGGGAATGAGAATAACGATCGATCATTTCTAGGAAGAGGGAAAAACATCATTAATTAGGGAAAAATTTAACATGTGGAGCAAGACAATCAGGAAGATCATATGACCAGAGAGATCAAATGATCCAGCAGAAGTAAGGCATATGCGCTTAAAAATACTGTATAATTGACTGGAATTGATTAGAATGAAATTGAACATCTCAGGAATATCATAAAAGGAA